AGAGAGCCTTAAGGCTTCCCACGAAGACAAACATTTCCCCCAAAATGGAACACAAATTATACATAGCCTTAAAAACTCAAATTTAAGAGCCCCTGTCAAGTCGAAGCTGAGTTCTTAGGGTTTGCTCATTTTGGATAGAATCATCGGAAACCCACCTCTTTGAATAAGGCCAAACTTTCAGCCCTTATATATCAATCAGACTCAATGTTCAGCCACATAGAGCCTTCAACGCCGTCACCATTAGTTAAGAGAAACGACACGAAGAAGGTTAGACAGAGACAAGGACTCGGGGTAAGGGTGTATGTTAGCAACATCAAGCCTTTCAATGCTAGGAAAGCTGGAAAAGCAGAGCCATCTCTACATCTCACCTGGACATAGAGCGAGAGGATAAAGAGAATGCAAAACCTAAGTCTAAAGTCATCTCTCAAGGAGAATGCAACAATGAAGACCATGGGCGGCTCAGCACAGCCACATAAAACCCACCGGACCAGAGCCATCTGTGGGATAGCCTGCAAAACTCTCAGGACATAATTTCTGAATCACCTACCGTTACAAATCACCTTGCAAAGATCAGCCAGTACAGCTAGAGTCGCACACCAGTTGTATTTCCTACCTAGTCTAACAGGCTTGGCACCCCAAAATCAATTTCGCACATTTTCCTTTAAAGGCTAAAATTAGGCCGCTTAAATGGAAATGTAAAATTAAGCCAGACTCTGATGAAAGAGGGTGGTAGCCCGTCACCAATTACCCTGGATAAGTAAACACCCGAACAACAGACTACGAGCTGGAAGGCTACTAGATACATTTTACTGAGAATGTGAACATTAAACAAAACTCTTCCTGTTTAAACACCCCTCCAGTTATTTCATAACCATGTAATTATTCATTAAGTCTAATATTGGAAACATTTTATATTGGATTTCTCTGGTTATCTGAATTCTCACCCTCAACTGGGTCAGAAAGACTCAAACAAGGCTTCGGTTATGGCCCAGTGGGCGGCTGGTCATATAGGAGGTACTCAATGTTTTAACTGCTTTAAAAAAAACAGGCAACGCATGCACGCATGCACGCACGCATGCACGCACACAGACAGACGCACGCACGCACGCACGCACACCCCCCAAATTCACGTCAGAAGGAGCCAGTATAGACATTACACAAATACTGATTCTCTGGGCTTGCCAAATTTTTGCTCTAGAAGTAATATTAAACACAGCTCTTTGTCTATGAATTGTGAAATACTTTATATACTAATAAAGAATGTGTACTTCATTGTGTATTTAACTGCATAAGCCTGCATTTGGTTTAATTGACCAAGAATAAGTCCTTGTTCTTCGGCTAACTATCAAGTTACAGTCAACTCTTAAATATTAACACTCATACTGAGGAACAAAGATGCAGATAATACAAAACAGAAGATTATTTTAAATCATTCACTCTTGGTATGCGGATATATTCTTTCTTCTTTTCTTTTAACTTGCAATTAAATGCGTATGGCTGATATTACGGCGTTTACAGTACTTCTAAGAAAGCCGTAAACCATACTGCAGTGATCTCAGGGAGGACTCCGAGAGGACCCCTCACTCAGCCTCTCTGCTGTTGAACTTTGGACCAATTCACATCGGGCCAGGAAAGCATCACCTCTCAGAAGGTTGTGAAAATACTGGTTAAAAAAAAAAAAAGAAAGAAAGAAAAAAGAAAAATCATGCAAACTACTTTCTTCCCAGGTTGCTGCTTTTCAGAATCACACTTTGTGGAGGGTGGGAAAGTAATTAAGGGTTTGGGGTTAGAAAAGCCCTTTTATTTTAGCTCCTACTGGGCTGGTGTAAACAAAGATGTAGGTTAGTGTCAACAATGACTTAATTAACCAGAGTAGGTGACAAAGTCAGGAAGAACTTGAAAGTAAGAGTTGCCTCCTCCCCAGGGGAATCAAGCTTGACTATACTTTAAATAATTAGAATATTAATCAACAGAACAGTACTTGGCAGTGAGGACTGCCCTCCACTGGGTCAATAACTGAGGTTATACCCTTCGGCTGGTCCCCTACAATAATGAATGACAAACTGAAAATATCCATTTTTAATCTGGAAAAGTAACAGTTAAAATCTTCTAGACACTGTTTTCTTCTTAAGACAGTTGAGTAGACCCAATCCTACTGTTTCCACTTCCCAAAGTGTCGGAAGAGGAATGATGGATGATTGACAGACAGATGCTACGATGACATATGATATGATACTGTACAAAGCCGAGATGATTGGAAAAGGATCCTCTAGTATTAGGGCTCATGCTCCTTCCCGGAACTCAGCTGCATTTTTCTCTGGACACATTTTCCTCTGGTCCAGCCCAACAGACATTATCTAAACTGAGCTTCCAAATTAGCAAACCACAAAGGCCCTGTACAAGAGAAGGTCAAGGCTGAACTTATTGTTAATCAAAGCTATAGTTATAGTACCCAAGGAGGACAGACAGGTCCTGAGAGACACGTGATGGGGTCAGCCCATCTCTCTCTCTCCCTCCTCTGCCCACCCCGATTCGGCAAGACTACAGCCTACACCAGCGCTGCCTTCGTCTGCTCCCAGCCCTTAAACACTCCTTTCTCGTCTATAATTAGATTTCCTTCCTAATAACCTCTGACACCAAAGCAAAACTCCTGCAATGGAGGAACTCACCTTAGGGCTCCGATGGGTTGCTGATGTTGGGCTAAGAGACAAGCCAAGCGCAGACCCTGTGCAAAGCCAGCACGGCTGCCTGGACACGCAGGGAGCCGCCTCCATCAGGCAGCGCCTTTCTTCTCAACGGTCTCCGAAAGCCTAGACGTTCCCTAACACTGTGGCAACTGACAGGCCCCGCTCTCCGGGAAGGATGATAATGTGTCCTGGTGCGTATCAGATGCCAGGCCCTGAGCTAACTGCTCTTTATGCCCAGGCACATTTAAATCTCCTAGCAACGTTTTGGGGTAGGTCATCGGAAGGCTTCTGAAGATATTAATATTCCTTTAACATTAATAAAGATCATTTTATCAAATACAACAGATAAAAGATAACATAACAGAAGATGACAGAAAGAGAATCTGAGGTCCAGGAGTTCGCATGCTTTTCCAGAGCAGAGTTTCGCACCTTCCAGTAAACCTTTTTTTTTTTTTTTTTTTTTAACCACTCACAACCCTGGACACCAAACCTCAGAAAAACGAAACCCAGAAAAATGCACAGAAGGACATTTGCAAAATATTACCTACAAGTTCAGAGAATTCATGGACCTCCCTTTGACGCGTCCTCAGATGCCAGGACTGGAAGACCCCGCTTTCAAAAGTCACTTTGTTGGGTACAAATTTTCACACGAAGAACCGCTGGGCGGGACTCCGCCCCTGCCCACTCCTCCCTCACCCCCTTCTTCCTGCATGTATGCACATATTTTAAACTTTCTCCAATGATTAAATACGATAAAAGAAGTCCTCCAGGACATTTTACACTTTATGTTGAAATAAACTCCCAATAATGCTGCCCCGAAAGTCTAAATGAAAAATGACAGCTTTTCCCTACCCTGGGCCGGTGCTGGGCTCACGCCGCTGAAGACGCACTCAAGGGAAAAGCAGCAATTAGAGAAACATCCATTGTAATTATTAGCAAAATTAAAGAAGTACAGGCCCAACTTTCAGAAACTGGGAACCTGTTCCCACCCATTAAGCCCTCTCAACATGCGTCACCACTGCAAATTACACTTGTGCTTACAGCACAGGTCACAAGGAGGACGTCCCATAAGCATCGCAGCTAGAGCCTCAGACACCAACGCTTACCAGATTCGCTTCCCGGAGACGTGGAAGCCACTGTGCATGTCACCACAACTGTTCATTATAAAACCTCCATCCCTCTGAGTTAGAAAAAGGATGCCGGTCTCTCTCTCTCACTGCGTCTGGTAATAAACGCCTCCGCAGGAGAAACAGTCGCCCCTACTTATCCTTTCGTGGCTCGTGCACAGAGGGGGTCTCATGGGAAGCCCCTCTCTCGGCACGCTCACCTCCCACGGGAACACAGCCCTCCTTCCCATACTGTCCCGAACAGGCTTTCCTGTCCTCTTCGAGAACAGTCCGCGGCGGGCCCCCCAAGTTAAGCAGGGACCAGCTGGGCTCTCGGCAAACAGATTCATTAAGTGGCGATGAGTGCTAGGATCTGCCGTTTTATTCTCAGATTACCGCTCAAAAAATAAGTCAGCCACCGATATTCCCGACTGATGACAGACTCCAATGCTGCATCAGGTAGGGTCCTGGCCACTGTCGTCACAGAAGGACCTGGAAAAAAGATTGCGAATCTGCCCCGCTGAGTAATTCGGCCTCCTCGATTAGTGCTCACAACTGCCCTTGGGCCTTTAAAATTAAATTTCCAAAGCTGAAACAGCCTGTTAGATCTGGAAGTTCTCACAGGTGTGGAGACGCCCAGGTACATTTGCTTTCAAATTTACCTAAAATAGAATTTGCCACTGTGACCTAATGCTTAAGTATTATGAATTACAATGCTTAAAAAAAAAAAAAAAAAAAATCAAGCTTCTCTGTGCTGAACTTCAGAAGCTTCTTTTTCTCCTTAGACAATGAAAATAAAATGTCAGCATTTCATATGTTGGCAATTTCCCTTAGTGGCTCCTTTTGTCAAGAAATAGCAAATTCTTTACATTGTAAGCCAGACTCTCTCTCCAGTGTGAATCCTACTGCAGAAGCTCGTGGCATTCATCACACGCTCCCCCTTCCAGCCTCCCTCACCCAGCACAGAGAAACGCACACACCAAGAGTCCACCAAACTATACCACTCTGCCCGCAGTCCTGACAGCAAAGAACCTTCTCATACTCTATGATTTGTGGAGCGATGACAGACCACTCCCCCTCGCTCTCAGAGACTCATCTCCAAGGCAAGGGCAGCTGATTCTAAAACAGGCCTCGCTGTGCACGCCACTTCCCCCAGACAAATCCCCAAACAGACTTGGTACCCTGAAAGTGAAATTCAACAACTTACCTTCCGGCTCTAACGTGGTATCCTTCACTAAATTGGAGGGCCGGGCCAGGGACGAGGTTGCCATGGTGACCACAACCAGGCAGACGAAGCGGCCCCAGCTGACCATGGTTACGGTGCCAATGCCCCGTCCTCTTCCATATCTCCATGTGGATGTTAATCCCATCTGCACACTTCCTCTACGCGCATGGACTGCCAGCAACGCCTTCAGCCTGCGGTGGGCTCCGGAACCACGGGGACGCTGCAGCCTCCGCAGCCTCTAGAGGAAAGAGATTCGGCCGGTCAGTGAAATCCTCCCCAGCGCCAGTTCTGTAAACCCAAAGGGGCTCAAACCGTTGTCAGCTTCTCGACCATTCGCACGCTGTTCTTTTTCATTATCTGCCAATGCCTTTCTCTCCTCACCTCAGAGCCCCAGGTGTTTCCACCAGACAGGTCCACGAAACATGCGAGGCAGATCTTTGAAAAAGCATACTTTTAAGAAACAGACAAAAGAGACGCTAAAGGACACAGATCGTCGCAGCCACTTCGGGGAGGCAAAGCCTACTCCCTTCTATCCAACGTCACCTTTACCGCCCTCCAAGAGAAAAAGCCACGTGACCTTAAGTTTCAAGGGCAACTAGAAAAGCAAGTTAACAACGCTCAGGTTGGCAGAGCCAGCCTTGTTAACTCCTCTTAGGCCAGGTGGGCTTTAGAAAGCTGAACCCTGGAGGCAGCTGCTTACAGACTAATTTCTGCAGGGGCTGGCGCTGAGTGGAGGGGTGCTCCGCCCTCACTGGAGTGCTCAGGAAGACAGGAGAGCCGCGAAATAAAAAGAAGCCCAGGAAAGCTACCAAAAAATTCCCACCAGTTCACACTTGTCAAGATTCATTTTCGAATGCAGGCCACCACTTACGAAGAATGAACAGAACTGCACTGCTTTCAAAGCAGCTGATCCAAAGAGATTTGAACCAAGCCTGAATTCCCTTCCACTGTGACTGATGGCAGCCCAGGCCTGGTAAATGTCTTCAACCCAGGCAGAGTGGGTTAAGAAACGGAGCCGATGAGAGAACTCTGATGAATAACGCAGGACTTTATTAGTGATGATGCTATGTAAATGACTGTCATGCTGTGCGATTGGGCCAATAACTTTCAGTATGCTAATCTATTGGCTAAAACTTCAGGGTAGAAATTGTACAAGGGGGCGCTCAACTTACTAGTCTGTTCACCCATTTGATCTGAAGGCAGAGAATTTTCCAAGCTCAAAATACTCAAAGAACTACATTTGCTCAGTACCCTCAATTACCAAGAGTACAGCCAAAATGCACACACTTGATGGAGAATTTGATTAAAACAATCAGATTCTGTGAACGACATGAACAAACCACATTTCATAAGACTGGGGATGGGGAGTGAGATCTTTAACATAAAAATCTCTCAAACCCTGCGTTTTGCTTGCCGACTCGATGTTTCAAATTATAATGTTGGATTTCGATACTGCCTGTGCCTCCCCAAAACTACATCAGAGAAACTGCTCCTTTCAGCCCTGACTGGGGCTAAAATGGGTAAGGGAAAAGATCCTGCACCATTTCCAAAGGAATTAAAAAAAAAAAAAAATCTCTGCTTCAAAGACAGTACACGTGAAATGGTGTAATTCACAGCAAAAGCAAGTGTGTGTGTGTGTGTGTGTGTGTACACACCCTGTGTTTTCAGAGGGCTCAAAGGATTTTTTCCACTCTTCTTTCCTCTTAAAGTTAAAAGCTTTAAAAGATAACTCCGTATCTATTTCTACATACACGTGGGAGGAAAGTACACAAACATTCTCACAGATTTACTAAGCATTTCCAGAATGCATGGGAATTTTCTGCCCCCAACACAACTTCATGAACAATCTTAAGCCCCAGCGGACTGCACCCCAAGCTGCGTCCCCGGCCACCTCGCCCTCCTGTCTCAGCCCAGAGGAGCCTCCTTTGCTCTAAGCAGAGGAAGGTGGACGGACAGTGACTTCAGTTCAATCTCAAGGCATTCATTCATCCCATCGGACGGCACCAAAAACGTGAATTACAGCCATTTCCAGGTCCAGACCCCACGGCAGCCCCCTCTCCAAATCTCTTGGAAGGCGGAGGCCTAAGGTGGCCGGTCTGCACAACTCTTCACCAGAGTGGACAAAAGCATGGAGGGACCTCCTAGGCAGGATAATTAGGTCCCGAGGCTTGGTGTTGGGAACACAGGCCCAGCATGCCGCTGGCGGCCACAATCCCAGCTTCCTGCCTTCAATACCATAATCCTTCCTGGAGTCTGAGCCTCAGTGAAAGCCCCAGCGTGTTTATTTTTCCCCTTGAAAGGGAACTCTCTTCTCTGCCTGGCCGTGGGAGGAGTTGTCACCCTCACTGTGATGGATGGTTCTTCATGACCACCCGCTCCCCTGGACCATTTTCACCTGGCACAAGCCTGCCCCCAAAGTGACAAGTGAGAGAGCCTGGCTGGAGAGTGGTCCCCATGCCAGATCTATGCTGGACTCCTCGATTTTCCGGAACATTCTCAAACTCCCCAAGCTCCAAAATGGCAAGCCGACACAGTGCCCCCGCCTTAACTGAGCTTCCACCTCTAAGGGCTGTCTGTCCACGCCGGCTCACCCATGCTGGGCACTCCGGCGCTTTGTTCTTCATAGATTTCACATCGGGAAAGTCCACAGCACCGGAGAAGTGGGGGATACCCCAGGAGGGGAAGGGGGCGCAGACCTATCTCCTGTCTTGAAGTCTCCCTGCTGCTCCTCTGCTGCTCCTCTCTTCCCCAGGACTGGATAAAGGCCCGAGCTAACAAGGGGTCCACTCTGGAGAGGGGGAATTCCTCACCATACTGAAATCTCAAAAAATGCAAAACGCAGGCAGACCGAGGACCACAATCCCGTCCCTTGCAAGCTGATGCGAACTTGCAGCCGGTCGGGGAGACTCCTCGCCACCACCAACCCGGTTTCATTGTAGCATTTCTTTCATTTGTTTGCCTGGAATATCCTGTTTTTCTCCCCCCCGTCTCGGGGCGCTGAAGAGCTCAAATAAATCTGCATTTTAATTGACATTCCAGGGAAAGGGAGAGGGGCGCCTGATTGCTTTTCTATTCAAACTAAACAGGCTTTTCAGATGAAAATGAGTCGAGGCCAGAGGAAGATTTACAGGGATTTGGGACCAAGGGGACAATGGGGTTTTAAATGTTGATAGCGTTTCACACCAAACACATAATGGGGGCCCCGAGTGTGAAAGCAGGGTTCCCTTTAAGGGCAGGTTTTATTGAACTGGCGGAGAAGGAAGTGGTCCCGGGAGAAGAGCCTGCAAAGGAGCGGGCTGCGAGAGGAGCGGCGGAGGCTCGTCGCCCCCCGACGGGACCCCAGAGCCCGGCCCTCCGGCCGCGTGGGTCCGAGCCAGCGCCGCGCGGGGCCCTCGGCGGATTCCCCCGCGCCGCCGGGCGGCTGGAAGAATGAGCGCGCAAGTCAGCACTCGCCTGCGTTTTCGACATCTCGGAACGGCGGCAGGCGGCGAACGAGAAAAAGTCGGTCCAGTTCGCCCCCTAGCCCCAGGTGCGCTGCGCGCCCTCCAGCGCCGACCGCGGCTTTGGGCGCGGGCGCCGGGCACTGAGACCTTAGAACCCAAGCAGCCCCCTCCCCAAAAGTGCCACCGCCCGAGCATCGCGAGCCCTAGGAAGATGTCCCCCGCCCCACCCAGCGGCTCCCTGCCGGGGAAGGGTCCTCCACCGCGGCCTGGAAGGGGCAAGGCGGGCGTTCCCCGGGCCCTGCGACGAGGGACCCCGAAGATGACTCCCTGAGCCCCAGACCTGCGGGGCTGTGGCACCCGCGGGGCAAGCCTGCCGGCTCCGGGGTCGGAGGATCGCGCCCGCCGGAGTTTGACAGGGAGGGGGCGACAGCGCCAGAGGCAGATGTCAGCATCTGGGTGCGGGTGATAGAGGCAGAACTTCCCAAACACCCGCCGCCAGCACGCAGCCTGCTCCCCCATCACCTATGCAGCCAAAGAGGGAGGGCAGGGGGCAGCCTCGGGCGCCAGTCCCCGCTCCTTCCTCCCGGGAGACCGTGCGCCCGGCGTCCCGAGCTCTCGGGGCGCCCACTTTCCCCGCGGGCGAGGCTCCCCGAGACGCCCGACACGGCGATTACCTTGAATGGCAACGCTCCCCGGCGATCGGTTGTCCCCGCGCCCGGCGTGGGTCGGGACGAGCCAGAGACGAGCTCCGGGGAAACTCCAAAAAAACCACACAAAAGTGGTCCCGGGGTCCCCGCGGGCGCCGAGGCTCCGAGGCTTCACGCGCACTCCAGGCGGCGGGGGAGCGCGGGCATGACGCCCGCAGGCTGCCCTCGGATTTGGGGAGCGCGAGGAAGAAAGGACTCAGGCTCGGCGCTTCCTCCACCCAACTTTGCTCGCAACTTGCGAACGCTCGGAGCGGGCGGGGGAAGCGGCGGCCCCGGGGCGCCCGGGCCCCGCCAGCCTGGAGAGG